GAGACAGAAGGCAGGCTACGTTCGGCATGCCGCCGTCCAACAGAGGCTACATGAATGACGTTTACAATGGGTCCTCGAATTAAGCGCCAGCACCTGAAACAGCCTACACATGCTCAACACCATTTTTGGCTTCCTGCGAGGCTCACTGTCTTGTCACTCCGGTCAGAAGAGCTTGCCTCACAAACATCGCCACGGAGCCAATACATGATGACCAGGTCCTTACAATGATGAGTGGAGGCCATACGCAGATTTCACATGTACTTCGCCAGACTAGTGTGACGCTCATGTTCTTGGCCTCCATATTAGTTTGGCACAGGGCTACTCTCCCCCTTCTCGTTGTCAATCGCTTCGTACATCTCTCTCGTTGCCTGGTGTGGCACTCTTCAGCATCTTTCGGCGTTTGGATTGAGCCCGTCTATCTTGGAGATCTGTCATTACATTCGACTCACTCTGCGTACCATCAAATAGTTGAATAGGCCTGTCTGGAACAAGTGGCTCTGCTGGATCGTCCAGAGGATAATCTGATAGAAGATTGGGAAATCAGGTACCCAGACCGTGAGGACTGGGATGTCACTGCAGGCGTGCAGATCACTTAGACACCACAATCAAGATTTCTTTTCATCAATATTTGCATCAAGTTAGGTCTATCTGATATGTCCTGGCTTTAGCCCATCACCTCGCCCTCTCTTATGTTGTGATTGGCCTTTGCATAGCGGGAGTCATACGGTTGATATACATTTCGAAGTTGTTCGGGCTTTTTCTACTCGACGACAGTGTCCCGGCTTACGAAACCTTCCTCGAGATGGATACAAGGTCGTCTAAAGCGGCGAAATGGCCAAAATCAGTATGCTCATGGTCCACTAGATGGACATTGACGTCATTCGCTAACAAGACGGTCGTAGCCCCACTTTCGGCCTGCTGTCATGTCATCGATGGAATCGCCAACCATGATGAGTCCTGAAGCATCAGCTTCTACCTCCGTGCCTGTTTCGGTCGCCTCTTTTAGGAGACCCCAGCTCCGAGCAATGTGTAAAATGCCTGCGGGATCGGGCTTGGGTGGACGAAAAGTCTCTTGTGACGATGGGCGCAAACATGCTGCCTGAGAGAAATTTGCCGAGCAAGTGAGCGACTGGGGCATCGAAGTTGCGCGTGCATATGCCCTTGCGAATGCCCCGCGAGTCAAGGTAGGACATGAGTGTCTCGAGACCTGGCTGGGCGACCTGGGTGGCCATGGCCTCGCGCTCGATGGCGCGAATCGATTCCATTGCTTTCTCCTGTGCCCCGGGCGTGGGAAGAGAGTAAATGTGGTCGAGAATGTCGACGGATTTGGTAATACCAAGAGCGTTGCGCATTTGTCCGAACATGTACGTCTGCGGCTCGCTTGGCATGTGATGTAAGCATTTGCGGTTGATGATGCGGAGAACGTCGTGGGTTGGAGGCGGCGTACCAGAGTGTACCGTCGACGTCAAAGACAACGCCTTTCAGGAGGGGAGCATCGGATGGAGCACCTTGCTTCAGAGGCGCGAACCGCCGAGGGCTATAAGACGCCATTGTCGACAGAAATCTTCGCATAGAGTGAAGGTTGCGAATCCGGAAACCTTGTTGAGCTTCATGTGCCAGTCGCTTACTGAAGGATACTGGATGCTCAGGATGTGCCTATCAAACCTGTATAGCTATCTCGAAGGAGATCAACCAGCAGTCGCAACTAGGTACTAGTGAAATGATTGTCAGTCACTTGTTGGCATTTGGCCAACGAAGCAGGCCTAACCCCCACCTTGGAGCAAGCGGAGGGTGAGGGGCGAAATCGTAAGCCACAATCACAGCCACGGCTCGACGGTGCTAACAAGGATACTGATCGTGGGTCCACTCGAGGTTGCAGCTCGAGCTCCCAGCTCTCCACTCTCCATCCCAGCAAGCGCTTTTGGCAGACTGACCGGGTCTTGGCTCGTCATCCCCAACTCTCGAGAGACATTTGCCCTTGGCCGAGCACAGTACAGTTCAACACCAACCAATACTGCAGTCGCGCTGCAGTCTGCGACCGGAAGCCCGACCGCTCGACCAAATCGGCGCTTTACGACTCGCACGATTGCATTCTAATACCGCTTGTCGCAAAGCTCGCGCGTCCGCCGCGCTCACCCCAACGCTACCTTCAGAGAATGCGACAAACCCGCCGTCATGAGCACTTCGAACCACAGTCAATGGCCCCCTAAAAGACCTTCCAAGAGAAATGTAGGTGACCACTACTGGAGGAAAGGGCTTCGAAGTGAGCTCGAACCAAAGATTTCGCGAAGTTAACATGACCGTCTTTCCCCCAAACTAGAAGCTACGAAATGGCACTGTGATCATCCCCGGCACGGGCGAGCGAAGCCATCGCCAGTTCACACTCCGAAACCCGAGCCTCGACAACGATCGTTCCGATGACCCTGATGGCTACCGGTCTCTTTTGCTGTCCGAGACAAACAGCGAGCGCGCCCATACCATAGGACACAATGTCAAGACGAGCTTTCTGAAGTTCTGGGACTTCCTCCGGTCTCCAGCTGGCAAGGGTGTGCTCAAGTGCACTCTTGCCTACCTTCTCGGCAGTATGGCCACTTACCTCGAACCGATCTCTGATTTTTTGGGGAAACCCGATGGCAAGCATGTCGTCGCCACCATCACTGTATACTTTCACGCCAATCGCACTTGGGGCTCAATGGTTGAATCAGTCCTCATCGCATTCTGCGCTATCGGCTACGCCCAGATCATATCCATGCTATCCATGGGCTTGTCTGTGCTGGGCAACGAAGTTGGCTTCCAAGTTTTGTCGCATGTCATGATATTGATCATCTGCATTGGTTTCGGCCTTGGATTCGTGGGCTGGATCAAGCAGAGAATGAACAGCCCCTTGGTGAATGTCGGGTGCACACTAGCATCCATCGCCATTATCACTATTGTTACCAAAGAAGAAGCTGTTCAAGGTGGATACTTGTCGTCTATCAAGGTTGTGCAGGTCTTCAAGATCCTTGTCATGGGTGTTTCTATCACTGCACTCGTTAACATCTTAGCTTGGCGAACGTCTGCGAGGGCGGGTCTGAGAAGCACCATGAACACGTCAGCAGAATCTCTTGGAGACTTGCTTGCCATGATTGCCCGCGGTTTCCTCAATGGCACCGAGGAGGAGCTGTCGTCCGGTGACTACACCCGAGTGGACAAGGATTTCAAAGCATCATACACCAAGATGACCACAAACTTGCGAGAGGCAAAGCTGGAGCACTATATCCTTGGTCGTGAGACGATCTACAAGATGGACAGAGAGGTCGTCAGATGCTTCGAGGTCCTTGCTCAGTCTATTGGAGGTCTTCGCAGCGCCGCGGAGACTCAGTTCGCTCTCCTGAAGGAGCTACCTCAGGACGGCCCCAACAGTATCCAGTCCCCCGGCGGCACCGTCATTTACTCGCCAACTTTGACGCGCGCCATGTCGCAGTATCTTAAGAACACGCGCGACAAGGCCGCAACACTAGCAGCAATTGAAGAGTCGGAGGAACTGGAGATGGAGTATCGTGCCAGCGCCGAAGAGGGCTCGAACTGTTCCTCTGCAAACCCTTTGACGTCATTCCGGGCGCCGTCAGAGATATTTGAACTATTCATTGCTCTGTTGGGCCCATCAATGAAGTCTTTGGCCTATACCCTGTCGGAAATCCTGAGAGATCCAACCTTCGGACCACCGCCCAAGTACGATATAAGCATTAACGAGAATTTTCGACAGAGTCTCAAAGATGCTCTGGGTGTTTACAACGACACGAGAACAAGTGCACTTCGAGACCTGTACAAAAGCATTGAGCTGGGAAGAGCCAGGACAGAGAAGATTCAGGCCGACATTGAAGAAGTGGCGGCTGCGTGCGGCCACTTCAGTTTTAGTCTGCAGAACGTGGCCGAAGACATCGATGCCTACTTGACGGTTTTGGAGGACTTGAAGTACGCGCGCGCTACCAGTGGGCACACCTGGCGCTGGTTGAAGTTCTGGAAACAATGGGAAAAGCCTGCGGTCAAGCCTGACCCCAACGATCCCGACCAAGAAGCCCTTTTGCAACCTTCAGCAGCCGAGGAAACACCCATCAGGCCCGTCCGCAAGTCTGGCATGCCGTCCGGCATGCCGGCAGAGATGATGAATCGGCGCGACACCTTCAACTGGGATGCCTCTCCTGACGCAAGTTCTTTCTTGCGATCCTTCTCGCAATGGTGTCTGAAGGCTATGAGGTTCCTAGCCCGAGATGATAGTCAGTTCAGCTTACCGTTCACCTCAATATCAGTTACTGACTATGTGTAGTTCGATTCGGCATCAAAGTAGGTCTGGGCGCCATGCTATGGGCTATGCTTGCTTTCCTTCCCGCCACCAGACCCATCTATAAGCACTGGAGAGGCGAATGGGGTCTTCTATCCTTCATGATTGTCACGAGCATGACCGTAGGCGCCGCCAATACCACTGGTACAGCAAGGTCTCTCGGCACATTGTTCGGCGGCTGCTTTGCCCTGATCTTCTGGGCCGTCAGCCAAGGCAACGGTGTTGTTCTGGCCTTTTCCGGTTGGGCCATCAGCTTCGGCAGCTTCTATGTCATGCTGGTTCTCAAAAACCCGCCCCTTGGCCGAACCACGCTTCTCGCATGGAATGTAACCGTTCTCTACGCCTATTCGCTGTCGCAGAAGGTCGACCGATGACGACGACGACGAGGGCGGCCTGAACCCCATGATGGGTGAGATTGTGTACCACCGACTTGTATCTGTCAATCTCGGTATTCTCTGGGGCATCGTTGTCTGCCGGATGATCTGGCCTATTTCGGGCAGGCGCAAGTTCAAAGAAGGACTGACAATTCTATATGTACAACTCGGCCTCATCTGGAGGCGTGGACCTTTGGCTATCCTGCTCAATAGCGACAGTACGCGGTCTTACATGAGGGCTGGCGAGGAGAAGGCTGTGCAGCGATATGGTAAGCACGCGAGCCCCTTTCTAGTCTCGCCTGAGGCATCCGACTGACACTGTACGCACGTAGCGCTGAAACTTGACGCTCTTCGAGCGTCAGCTAAGTCCGAGTTCGAACTTCGTGGCCCCTTCCCCGATGATGCGTATGCGCGCATCATGCAATCCACGCTCAGGATCGTTGATGGCTTCCACGCCATGCGCCTCGTGACATCGAAGCGCGGGAGTCTTTCAGCTGGCGAACGTGCTCTCCTACTACATACGGCAGCCGAGCGAGCTCAACTTTGTGACCGCATTTGCCACGTCTTCCAGGTTCTGGCCAGTTGTTTTATGCTCGAATACCCCTTGACAGACGCCATCCCATCGGTGGAGGGCACCAAGGACAGGCTCCTGGGTAAAATCTACCAATTTCGTAGAGAGCACCAGCCATCGCTAGCTGCAGTCAAGGAAGACGACCAAGAGGACGACGCTGGTGTGAATGACAATGAATCGACGAATGGACACGGGAACGGGAACGGGCATGGGAAGGCCAAGCTGAAGCCACCCAAGCTCGAGCTGCACGTAACGGCTGAGGAGAAGGATTATGCTCTGCTCTACGCATATACGCTGGTAACGGCCCAAGTCGCGCATGAGCTGCAATGCGTGCAAAAGGAGATGGAAGGTCTCTTTGGTGTGCTGAACGACGAATCGCTGCTCCTGCGGTAGAGGTGGTTGCGTTCTGTTTCCCGATACTTTTTTTTTCAACTTTGTTTGGGCTGGCGCTGGGGATGGATCGGTTTGTTTTCTTCTTAGAATATACGACGTTTTATTCATCAACCTGGGAGGCAAGTGTAATCCCGTCATCAAGACGGCGCACATGACTTTCGAGTGCTATTGTATGGTTAAGCCTTGTATTGCGGAGATTCCACGATGCACAGGGTAAATACCAAATCATATCGTTATCCATTCGCCTCCGTACGCATTGAAGCAGACCCGCTAGCCAGTGTAGCTCTTCACGCCTCAAGTTCAAACGCCATACCATGTCTCTTCATAATGGCTATGCACTTAGAACGACAAGTCCCTCATCATTCCCACCTTGCCAATCTCATACTCCACCCATCTCGCAACCCTAGTCTTGCCTGGCACCAGCAAGCTCGCCGGGTTCATAACATGACATCCTTCGTATGTGACGGCAAACGGCGGCGCCGTGGCGTCGACAAGCACCAGCGCCGTGGGTAGCGGGTACAGGTGCAGCGCGGCCGCGTAATCCCAGTGCACGGGGCGAATGGCGTGTCGGAACGGCGCAAGGTAGCCCTGGTCGAGAATGGTCTTGACGAGCTTGCGTGCACGGTGGACGTCTTGGGAGACCGAAGGGGCGGCCGACGAGGTGGCAGTGCTTGCGTTGGTCGTATCGACATCCATGGCCTCCTGGTCTACGGGGGTTTCATTTGAGCCCACCGCGCCTGACATGACGACGTCGCCGCCCGTGGAGGGGGTGTATTGATTATCCGGATCGTCGGCTGCGGAGTTGGCTGCGGAGATGGCTGAATGCGTGGACTTGAGCCGGACGGAAGTACGGCTGAGGCGGGCTGCGACATCGTCGCGGAACAGAACAATCTCATGATTGGGACCAAAGAGACTCAGTCGACTGGGATTCGACGTCCAGATTGCCTCGCCTTCCGTTGCCCTTTTCTCGCTGTCACTATTCAGTTCCGCATTGGCGGCAGCAAATGTCCGCCGGATCCGAGAAGTGAACATCTCGGGGGCTGGCTTGCGCGGTAGTGGAACGGCCGCTCCAGCGCCGAAGGAGGAAACCCAACCGTCATTGTCCCCCGGGACGAAGACAAAGGTCGCAGTCTGCAGCAGTGTTGGGAAGTCGGCCAAGGTACTTGCGAGCGCGTCGAAGACCTCCTTGTACTCGATGCTGCCTCCACTGCCGCCTCGGGCCAGAACGGCATGTTGTGTGAAATTGCCCGTGAGGACAAACGTCATGGGGCTCTGGCCCTCCGGCTCATTGGCATACAGTGACAAGATTTTGCGTAATGCCTGAAGGGTACGCGGCTGGTCGAGGTTTACCTCGCCAAGGATGATCATACGACCTCGACCGGGGGTGTCTTCAGCAGAGCGTCTGGGGAGCAAACGTTGTTCGAGCTTCCGCATTCGCGGACCAACTGCCCTCTCGCTGCCGACACCAAGGAAGTCGATCCAGCCGAATCCACCGCCAATAGTGTGATCCTGGCCACCATCGGGCCCGCTCACGCCCAGTGTTGCTCTCCTCTTCTCACAAGGGGGCTGGCCAACGAAGAAACCTTGGAATTTGCCGCCGAGGGTTCCTCCTACGCCGCTGCTGCCACTCAGGCCCTTGCCGTGTGACTCCTCCTCCTCTTCGTACACGCCATCCATCAAGACAATCATACCAGGGGCGAACCAAGCCGAATCTTCTGGGATGGCAATTGCCTGTGAGAGATCGAGCGCAATAGTGCCTGTCAAATCGCTAATAGCCAGGCCGCCCGTCGGCAGCACAACCAGCATGCCGAGTAGCATGTGGTGACTTCCATGGCGACCCAGCAGGTTTGCGATTGGTGTTATCTTGTGGTTCTGCTGGGTTGATAACGACCTCTTTAGTGTTGATGCTCTTGCACTGGCGACGGCTGAGGTCTGGAATGCTTCATTCCGCAGAAGACGCTGGTGAATGACGTGGTAACGATTTCGGAAAAGTGCTGTTTTGTGTGATGCTGGCGGCAAAAGAGACGGTTTTGTAGTTTCCCTTGAGAAAGACTGTCAGTAGAGGAAGGAATCGTTTAGAGAGCTAGCTGAACATACCTCTCGAAGTGCTTCTTGGCCACGTTGTAGCAAAGTCGTGGTTGGTCGTATGCCCCAATCACCTTGAGCCATTTCCTTGCGTCGTTGACTGTTTCGTCATTCTCCTCCTCTTCGACCTCCAGGCTCGACATGCCGAAGCTCTGCTGGCTGTCCTCCCTAGTCAAGGCCTGATTTGGCCTCAGTCCCAGCCTGGTATGCGAAGCCGTTTCTGCGTCCCTGCCTGGCTCTAGCATGCTGTTCTGGCGGCTCAGACCTTTTCCACCAGCAATGATTTTTCCTCCACTCATGTTGCCCTCCATAGTCTTCAATATTTCCTTGAGCTCAGAGCTGCCGCCATCCACAATGACTCCTCCATTGCGACCCTTCCAGGCTTTGGCTGCTTCCTCGAGAACCTTTTCCGCTAGGCCCTCTTCGCGCCATCCTGATCCGCAATGCCGGCCGATAAACGTAGCGAGCTCCTGTAATGCCGTCGACGTCAGGGTCAGGCTGTGCTTCTTGGTGAAGGTTCGGAAGGCGAGGGGCCGCAAAGTAGCCGGAGGGAGGAGTATGGGTAGGATGGCGTGTTTCGTAGGGGCCGAGACGTTGAACGGCTTCAACGGGTGAACAGGTGTGCCGAAGGCGGGGGAAGAGGAGGGAATGGCAGACGAGGAGGGGGCGGGCGTCCTTGCGCCGTTGAAGATGTGAGCCAAGTTTGTCTTCTTACGTCTTGGAGAAACAGTCGGCGGACGATCCATGATTTCGCTACCAGACTGTGCCGCTAAATATCTCCGGATGTCGTGTGATGTCGCGCGAGAAGTGTCCTTCAAGTGTGCCGAATGTCGACTTGAAGGGACGATCTTTATGGTGCGGGTAGGTAGAAAGCGCCCAGATGTTTAATTGAGACGCGTCCTGAGGACCGGGGACGTGTTGGTGGGGGCCAGTCACGGTTTGAGCAGGAGCCAGCGCTTGCTGCGTGCAGGCTTTGGCCGAGTCAGCTCCCCAAGAGAGAGGTAGGTATGCTCCATGCTTAATACGGAGCATGCGCCCCGGTCAATCGAAGCAATTTTGGTGATGTCAACGCCCCAATTCCAATCACTTTTCGAGAGCTGTACGAGCTACGGCATCTGTTGGTTAATTTCTTGAGATCCTAAAGCATTTCTACTCGATACACGATCCATACTCAAAACGCACTCAAAATGTTGGTATCGACAGCTCGCTTGGTACCGCGGTTCAAAAGCGCCGTGAGGTTCGTCCGCGCCGTCTCAACACTGCCGACGAACCCGCATATCGTAGGTCCTTCTCCTCGCTAGCCGTATGTAAGGCCATGACTGATTGTTGCCCGGTCAGAAAGTCTTCCCAGCAGATGCCTCGAGGGCCTCCTTCCTCCTCAGCTTTCTCGATAGCCAGCCTCCGAACCCCAGGTTAGCCATCGGCTTTGCGACCCAAGATCCCCCAACGCCGCAATCCTTCACGGAGAACCAATCTTTCCTCAACATAATGTACGAAGTTCTCGCCGAACATGCACCGCAGGACGAGGAGCTTCTTGCTCAGGCCCGTGCCTTTGCAGGGCCTGGTGGTGGCAGCCTTGGGGCTGGTGGCATATTCGGTGCCCAGCAGCAGCATAGGAGAGGCAACAGGAAGCCGAGCGAGACGGCAGGTGCCGGCGGTGCGAGTGGACAAGGAGGAGCAGGCGGTGGTGGACGGGGTGGGTATATTCACCTCAGCGACTCGAGGAACCCGCCCGATTTTGGACGCATTGCCTGGCCTGAGGACATCATTGGCAGCCTAGAGGTTGATCCCGAGGGCAACATCATTGGAAATCTTCAGTCGAGTGGAACGTATCGCATGCTGACGAACGAGGGAGCGTAAGTACAATCACTCCAATGCGTCTTTGTCGGCGCAACACGTCGCCGTCCTCAACTGACAATCCTGTACAACCTTTAGTCTTGGCTTGAGTTCCTTTCTCCGCGGGAAGCTGCTCGAACGCTTGAGGGCCGAGGAGAACAAGGATAGAAATACCTGAGCCCTGGGATGCGGGCCTGCAGAGAACGGAGCCGACTCACCATGCTTCAGCGGCTTATCTTGGCGCTGGTTAGCGTTAAACGGAAGCCCATAATAGCATGCTGAGTGACATGACTATCCGCACGAAGGGCTACCCGCACGGCGGAACAAATCTTGGCCCTAGGAGCCGGGGAGGGAGAGTCGGCGTCGGCTTTGCCTCCGGATCTCGTTCATTTTGTCGTCTTGAAGTGTCGCAATACCGCTGCGCCGTGGTATCCACGCCGCTGCAGAGAAACCCAGCGCTATACCTTACTACCAAGCCGTTGCTGAGACGCTCCGCTAAGATGGAAGTGCATTCAGTTGGTGGTGTGTAAGCCTGGTCATTGTCGATCTGTTCGAGATGGTTGGTTGGAAACAGCTCAAAACCGCGGTAGCAAACCTCCCCGAGTCAAGTTGATCCTTCCAAACTTGTGATGTGTAGTACAATGCGCGCTCTGGCTCACTGATGCGGTGATACGTCACCCTGCAAGTTGAATGACTCGAAGAAGGACAATTCCTGATCAACTTACGACCCCGTCAGGTTGATGTGGAGTTGACAGTTGCTGGAACTCTATGACATGTCATCCTAAAAAGGGAGGTTCGTCAACCTCGTTGGCAGTGCATGCGCAATTTGGTGCAGACTTTCCCCGCAACAGCAACAGCTTCATTTGTGTTTTCAAGCACCCATGGCACCTCACAAGTCATGAGAAGTTTCCTCGCTTCTGACACACACACGCACATGGAAGTGGGGAAGCAGACCACAGCCAGCTACCGTACACCTGCTCTAAAATGTCTGTTACAGCCATGCCCCGATGCTACATTGACGATAAGAATATGGGGGAAATATGACCAAGAACACGCCCCTGGCTCTGCAACGTCAAGGTAGAGATCCACCAAGGTTACATGCACATGATATTTTTAAGGTATGGCGAGCGGTATTTCCTGGTGGAGGTGATGCACAGCAAAACGGGCCCGAGTCTGGGAGGATGGGGCCGACGTCCCTGACGAAGGGGCAGGGAGGCCGAACGAGCCGTGGATCGAGATAGCACAGTACGGGATTCGTCCTCGATGATAGTCCTGCAAGTGACTCTTGACACGGGCGGCAGCTGCGGGCGTCATCTTGGAAGCATGCAGTTGCACGATGTGCGCGGCACGGCGCCGGTGAGGTAAGAGGTGCAGCGCCGGGTCAAGACGTCGATGTCCCTCGGCGTACCGCATAGGAATGGTTCTTGGCTGATTGGTGGTCAGCGGCTCTTCAGCGGCGGTTTATCCCGGGTGAAGATGGTCGGGTGGTCAAGTTGTGGTGGCTGGCTGATGTATCTGCACGCGTCAACATGATAACTGATCTGTGATCAGGCGGTCGAGGCCAAGACAGGTCAGCGTTGGGAGACCCGAGATCAAGCCCAGTCTCTCCCAGGGCGACATCTTGCTTCTCCCATGGGTGTGACGGTTTGGAAAGTGGTGAGGTTGAGAGAGCCCAAAAAAGAGTCTGGGAAAAGAAAAGGTGCTCGCCGAAATGGACGGTGAAGACTGAGCCCAGAGCTCTTGCATGTCTACCGACCGCCTGGGCGCTCCAGAAGTAAGGTACCCAAGGTACCTGAACCAGGCCTGAGATGCCTGCCTGGAATGTTGGCAGAGCCTGGTTCCTTTAGCGGGCGACCACATTGTTGCGACCTGTGATGCCTCCTGTTGAGCTCCCCATCGAGCTCCCCCGGGTCCCTAGAGTACTGGGCACCGATGCCGACGCACGGGCCATCAGGCTGCAGCGAAGGTGGAGGGCTGGAGGACTGGAGGGGCTGGATGGGGTCCCATCTGAGGGGCTCAAGGGTCTTGGCAGCCCTTCCCCTCCACATCCGTCATGTCATGGCCTCCACTGGTCAGCGTTGGGTCTGCTCTGTCCACTGCCCGCCCGCCCATTCCAACCCACCTGCACCACACCACGCTCAAACCGAACGAAACGATCAGTCACAGGTCCAAGCAGAGCAGCCCGAGGGCGGAAAGAGAAACGAGCGAAAAGAGTACATCGCGCACACCCCCCCAGCCCGCCTCGACACCAACCGATCCGACCCGCCTAGAGACGCAGAGCAGGCCCTGCCCCATCCCATCCCGTCCCCGGAACGACATGGCTCCCCCGAGGGGTTTCGAGGATGAGGAGCTCACCATTTCCCTCTCTCCATCCCAGATCCGACGCCGTGCGAATGAGGGCTGGAAAGCCTCACCCTCCGAGTCGAACCCCGCCGCCAACACAAACACCACCACCACACCTGCCATGGCCTCCGCAGCTCGTGCAGATCAGCAGGCCGCTGCTGCTGCCGCCGCTGGCCGTGGTCCTATCCCGACCGGCATCGGCGCCGGCGTCCGGGAGAGGATCAAGACCGAGCAGCGCATCGGTGCCTACAAGGTCATCAAGACCCTTGGCGAAGGCTCCTTCGGCAAGGTCAAGCTGGCCATACACAATGGCACCGGCCAGCACGTCGCTTTGAAGATTATCGCGCGCAAGAAGCTCATCAGCAGGGACATGGCTGGCCGCGTCGAACGTGAGATTGAATATCTTCAGCTGCTGCGACATCCCCATATCATCAAGCTGTTCGTACAGACCCTTTGCTCTTGGAACCTCTGCTCGGCTGCCCCGCGTGGCAGCTCTGGTTATCCTTTCCCAAACGGAGCTGACATGCCTTGTCTGTGCCTAGTTATACTGTCATCAAGACGCAAAACGAGATTATCATGGTCCTAGAGTACGCCGGTGGCGAGCTTTTCGATTACATTGTTCAGAATGGTCGCATGAAGGAAGCCGAGGCACGCCGTTTCTTCCAGCAGATGCTCTGTGCTGTCGAGTACTGCCATCGACACAAGATCGTCCACCGCGACCTCAAGCCCGAGAACCTTCTCCTCGATGACCAGCTGAATGTTAAGATTGCCGACTTTGGTCTCAGCAACATCATGACGGACGGCAACTTCCTCAAGACGTCCTGCGGTAGCCCCAACTATGCGGCTCCCGAGGTCATCGGAGGCAAGCTCTATGCCGGCCCCGAAGTCGACGTGTGGAGTTGCGGCGTCATCCTTTATGTTTTGCTCGTCGGAAGATTACCTTTTGACGACGAACACATTCCTAGCCTGTTCGCCAAGATTGCGAGAGGCACGTACAGCATCCCACAATGGATCAACACTGGTGCTGCCAATCTCATCAAGAAACTGCTTGTAGTTAATCCCGTCCAGCGCGCCTCTATAGACGACATAAGGGCCGACCCGTGGTTCCAAATCGATCTGCCGCCCTATCTTCAGCCAGCCGTGGAGGAGTTCTACAACACAGGGGTGGACCCCAACCAGGCCATCAAGAAGAGCGATATCGCACCCAATGCGCCGACGAAGGTGCAAGAAAAGCTGCACGACGAGGTTACGGAGAAGATTAGTAAGACCATGGGGTACGGCAAGAAGGACGTGCAGGAGGCTCTAGAGGCCGAAGAGCCGTCAGCCATCAAGGACGCCTACATGATTGTTCGTGAGAATAAGCTCATGCAGGGCAACGGTAAGATCAACCTTGGATATCGTGATGGAATCATACTCACAAGTACCGCAGATGGCTTGGCTTCACTGACTGTCGACCCGGAAACCTCCAACAGCCCCATGATCAGTGCCTCGTCTGCTCGATCTGGGACTTCTGGAGTCGGTGCCGTGCCGAGGCCCTACATCAGCAAAATTGGCATCCTTCCCAGCAGTCTGCCCGACTACCACAAAGAATACGTGGAACGGGAGAAGGCGGGCATAGAAGACACACCCACGCCTAGCATCGTCGTCGACGAGCACGGCTCAAGCTCTCGCACCGATGCCGAGCGTGAGGAGATGGCACGGCATCTAAAGCCGCACAACAAGACGCAGCAGCGCTACGCCGATGACTCTGGCCAGCGACCGCAGGGCATGACGCCTGTGACGGCGCCTGCCAAGAAGGTCAAGCCAGTTCGTTGGCAGTTCGGTATCCGCTCGCGTAACGCGCCGTGGGAGGCTCTTCTCTGCATTCACAAGGCACTCAACAAGCTCGGCGCAACATATGTGCCTGACGAGGACTATGAGAAGCTCCACGCTCAAGACGAGAGCGAGCATGGAGGCAGCGGGGACGGCAGCTTCGTCGATGAGTACGGCAGCGGCACGCAGCAGTCGGAGGGCGCCAACACGTCGACGAGCAGCATCGATCCGCTGAAGAAGTACAAACTGCCGGCTGACCCCTGGCACATCAAAGTGCGATGGGAGACAAAGAGTGAGTGTTCCTCGGAACGACAATTTTCCTTCTCCTCCCCTTGCTGACCAGATTCGTCCAGCCATGAGTAGAAGGGCGTATGATCACCCAGACAGCTACCACGTGCATGAAGAAAACATGAAGAGGGACTTTGTAGCTCTCCATGTCGATATACAGATCTACGAGATGGAACACGGCGTCTATCTCGTTGACTTCAAGTGCTCTGGCTACGAGACGGCAGACCGCAGGCTGCTCGAAGAAAAGGATGTCACCAGCCCCTTCCCGTTCCTCGACATGGCTGCCAAGCTCATCATGCAGCTGGCTGAGGCTGACTAGAGTGGAAGTGGGTTACAAACCAAACCTTGTTTCCCTCCGTACGCTCTTCTCCTTCGCTTTTAGGCTCGGCAGGGTCCATTTGCTTTTACGAAGCGAGCTATCATGTCATGGGAGGGGCAGAACAGGGCACGGCTGCATAGACCGCCGTGGAGGCATGGCTTTTTTACCTTTGACTTTTTTTCTCTCACACACACACACTCTTTCTCTCTCTTTTGCGTCGTTTCGGGAACAGGAGTTTTCTCCGGACTGGCAGGGTTGGTTGGTTTGACGGATCGAAGGATGGACAGGTAGGAAACGAAGGACCGGGGGGCTAGGGAGGTCTGTGAGTTTGTGATGGACGTTTGCTCTCCTTGTCTTGGGTATACCCGGCGTGCAAAGACGGACAAACGGGAAAGAGAAGCTGGCCGAGGAGAAGA